ACCCTGTAGGGAAGAAAACAATTACTTCACAGGGTCTCCAGGGCTATAAATCTGTATGGAAGCAGACTGTCTCATCTTTTATCCTTGCAGAGGGTGATGGCTTTGAACTACTGCCCTTTGGTTAGTATTTGAATACTTTTAATATTTACACCACCAAGGTTCCTTTGATTTGGCAGTGGCATATACAGATATACACACCTGACATCTGGTTTAGCATGGAATGCAGGAGGTTCCTCCTCTCAGTTGGTTTTAAATTTGTTTCTGATTAAAATTTCTGTATGGCACTTTTAACTTTCACAGGAAGTGATAACATTTACACATGTTTATATTCATTCGTGGGGGGGTGGTTGGGAGGGAATGATTTAGGTATTTGTGTTTTAGTGACTGCAGTTTCCTGGTAATGTCATGACCCAAGAAACAGCCCTGCTCTTGCTCTATGGGGCTTTTAAAAATACCACTGCTCCTTGATCTGTTAATTACATCATTGTCTGACCTGCCTTTAAGTGGCGTTCCTTCCTGCTTCTAAGCTTTGTTGTGATGCCAGGCAGGGGGGAAGAGAAGGATTCTGTAGGACTGGTGGAATAATTGTGGGAGGCAGGGAAACCACTGATTAAAAATGGGGTGGGCAGCCACACAGGGGAGTTGTCTAGGAGGGAGCTGGCGTGATGAATGTAAAATTACAATGTCAGAAACCTCATCGAGCTGTTATTCACATATCCACTCCTACCTTCCTCAATAAATTCTTATTGTTGGAAAACTGGGAATGGATTTTCACCTCTTGAGTCTTACTTTGTGGTGGTAATGAGAACATGCAAAGAAGGCAACAAAATAAAACTAGTCTCTTTAGGAAAAGGAACAGCATTTTTGCAAATGTTAAAAGCTTAATCTCCTAGATGATTCTTTTACTTCTAAATTTGATATGAAATCATGTTGTTACAGGCTGTACCTGCATCCTGTAGGGTTCAAAACTGGTTTATTACAGGGCCATGCACTGACCATGCTCACATTTCCTCCTTAATATGTATTTCCGGGCCCTGATTTTATGTGCCTTTGAGTCTCAACCCATCTTTTTTCCCTCGAAGCAGCTGGTGGATTTGAACCTCCTGCCTCTGGGTTATTAGCACAACTCCTTATCCACTAGGCCATCAGAGCTCCCTTTATGCCCCTAGGTGGTAACAAAGTTACTTCACTCAGCTGCTCATTAGGTTAGAAGGTCAAATCTACCCCTTGACACTTTGGAAGACAGGCCTAGAAAGTTCATAAAATTGCAGCCATTAAACAGTGCTGTGGAGCTCAGTTCTACTCTGACACATATGGGCTTGCCATGGATTAGAATTGACCTGATACCAATTAATTTTTGTTGGGGAAAAAAAATGAGGGTTTGTGTTTTTTTATTTTTTTAAACTAGTTGTAACAGATATTATTCAGAACCTACTTTTAGTTACCAAAGAGACTGTTTAAAAACACTTCTTGGTAATATTTAAGATGTTCTTCCTAATGAACTATTTTTCCTTTTCACCCACAAAAAGATTACCTGTTACCATCTCATCATTACTGATTCACCAAGTCCCTATAGGACAGAGTAGAACTATCCCTGGGGAGCACCAGGTTTCAAGGCTGTAATCTTTACAAAATCGGGCTGTCACATCCTTTCCCCACAGAGTGGCTGGTGAGTTCAAACTGCCAACTTTTTGATTAGCAGCCACGCACATACCCACTGCACCACCAAGGTTTCTGAAGAAAAGTTAATGTGCACTTACTTCCCTTTCAATTCCATTTTTAGAAGAGAATGGTATCCTGATTGCAAAGTATACTCTTATTGCCATTGTAGTGCCTCTTGAGAGGCAGATATTAAAATGAAGGGATTATGGTCTGAAGCGTGTTTTCAACGCTTGGCTTTCTCAATCAGTGGAGAGGTGGTAAATTAATTCCCTTGCCTGTCATGTGAGAGACAATGATAACAATGCCATAGCCCAGCTTTCTCATGCAGCCTTAATTGGTGGATATCTGTTTCCATCACATCTCAGGATTAGAATGTTTTATGATCTGTTTTAGTTAAAAAAAAAAAAAAAACAACAAACAAAACAACAAACAACCCCAAAACAATAGTCCTATGGGTGACGGATCCTTAGCCCTGAACATTGTTTAAATAAATAATTAAACAGAAAATATTCTTGCATGATTCTATTTCTCTGAACTTGGTCCCTTCTCATGTGTGTCTTCAGCATTATATACTGTGGTACCGACTCATATAGCTCAGTTTATCACATGGAAAGAGATTGCCCATCTACATCCCATGGAGCCACTCGTGAAGTCGAACCACATACTTTTGAGTTGCTTGCTTGTGCAACTCCTTACCACTAAGCCACCATAACTCCTGTTTCTTGGCTGTTGTTGTTATGTGCCATCGAGTTGCCTGCGACTCAAAACGACCTTATGTACAACAGCCCTAAATCTTGCTCTGTCCAGTGCTAGCCTCACTGTCTCCGACACACCCAACCCTCTTACTCCAGTCAATCCATATCATTGAGGGTCTTCCTCTCCTTCACTGTCCCTCCACCATCCCAAGCATGACGTTCCTCTCCAAGGACTGGTCCCTCCTTGCAATATGTCCGAAGTATGTCAGACAAATCTTCAGAATCCTTGCCTCTTAGGAACAGCCTGGTTTCACCCTCTTCAGGATGAACCTGTACTCAGTTATCTTCCCTAACAATAAAGAACCTAGTAACAGAGCAGGGTTAGACCACTAATGGAAAGGTTGGCAGTTCAAGCTTACTCCCACCCTGAAGGTTTACGACCTCAGAAACCTGGTGGAGGGTTGCCATGAGATAGCATTGACTTGATGGCAGTAGGTTGGGTTGGTTTGTCAACCTTCCAGGGCAGAGTGGAGCTCTTTAGTTAGCAGTTTCTTTCTACTTTGTTAATGGATTGGCTTTCTGAGAATGTCTCTCTAACACAAGGCCATTCTGCAACCTTCTGTTCCCTTAATATCCATCCTCAGCCTCCTCCTTTCTGTATCCATGTATTCCCCTCTCTTATTCCAGCCACTGCTCAGTCTTATGCGTCTGTGTCTCCTAGTTTATTTTGTCCTCAGTACTTGAATAATTCCACAGACTTTTACAGCATAGTTTGAAATTAAGACCTTCACACTGATTAACTTGATGGTTACTTATTTTAATCTTCTGTTTACATCAGCGATGTTTGGTTGACTCATTTGGTAGCTTTCCATTTCTTTCTTAGTCACTTTCACTCAGTCACTGCTTTGGAGTCTGTCCCAACTCATTGCGTTTTCAAGGCTGTCAATCACAGTGGGAGGAGACTGCCCATCTTTCTTCCAAGGAATCACTTGTGGATTCGAACTGCCAGAGATGTGCAGTCTTGGAGCTAGCGGTGCACCTCAGTATGGACTCTGCCACCAGAGTTCTCCTTCCACTCTTTAGTGGTGATTTATCAACTCATCTTAGTGTTAAAAGGCTTTACAGGATGATGTTAAAATTCTTAGATAATTGGATACATACCCTAGTAAATTGTTCTTTTCCATTTATATCATCTTTTTATCCAAGGGAATAATTATAACAACCTTGAGTAGGGAAACAAACCTAAACTGTGTTAATGAAAGGTACTTTCATTATGGTTTTCCCATACCCTCTCTGTAATTTTTTTTTTTTTAGTTTGTTGTGTTTCTTTCATTGGGTTTTGGTGTGGTTTGTGTTGTTTTTTTTTTTTTGTTCTTGCTTTATGGTCTTTTTTAAAAAAAGCAAATTGCATATTTTAGTCAACAGCAGAATATGAAAAATCTTTCTATGTCTTGCATTTTAAGCTTAGCCTCTCGTTAAGTGATTTATTTATTGCAATTGAAAATGCAATATCGATATATCATTATTAGCTAGGGGGGGAAATTACAAAACCCAAAGGCATTGCCATCCAGTTGGAACCAACTTATAGCTGACCCTCCAGTGGGTTTTCGGAGGCTGTAAATGACACAGGAAGAGATGGCCCATCATTCTACCAGGGAGCATCTGGTGGATTTTAACTGCCAGAGAGGTTCCGGCTTTGGATTAGTACTTTGGATTAGCTGTTCCCTGTAGACTACTTGGACATGTACATTTAAGGGTCCTTTAGACAGACGCAAAGTTTTCTCCCCTTTCATTTCAGTGGAGGGGGCTCTGGTGGCTTATTAGTGATGAGCTGTGCTGCCAACTCAGGAGCTCATGGCCCAATCAGCTGCTCTGTGAGAGCAAGATGATCAGTCTACACCCATGTGATTTCCTGCCTCTGAAAACCTGCAGGTGGATCAATTAGGAGTTATTTCCAAATACATAGTAGATTACAACAACAACAACGATTTCAGTGACCTTAAGGGACTTCTCTCTCAGTCTATCTCCCTCAAAGCCTTTTCCCTTCTTCCTCTTTTTCACCTTCCACAAAAGTCCATTTGGGAGGTAGTGCTGGAGTAATGGAGCAGGCACGAGCTTCGGCATCAGAAGATGGAAGTTTGGGTTCTGCTGTGCCAGGGACAAAAATCTAAGAACGCTGAGTGATGTAACTTCTCAGAACCTCGGCTTATCTATACAATGAAGAAAACAGTCCTCAGGGTTAAAAAAAAAAAGAGAGGGATGAGATAATGTATGATAAGGAATGCATGCAACCTTGACACCTTATTTTTAAAGGCTTGTTTGGTTTGGTTTTAGTTTTGGCTTAATACCTGTTGAGTTGATTGTCATGTGACAACTCTGTATGGGGTGCTTCTTCATAGTGGTCTTTTAATTCCTATCGCTTAAACGATATGAATCAGGACGGTGCGGTCAGCTTTTATTGCATGATTCCAGGAACTCTCTGCTGAGGCAGCAGCCCATAGTTCTCAGAAATGCACTAGCTGCGTCCTTAGAGATCAATCAGTAAGAGGGCAGCTTTGTTCTGCAGAATCCCAAGCGTGTTGGTCAATTGATGACACCATCAGTGAATATAACATGTCTTGCTCTGCACCTTCTCGTAGGGTTTGAGGAGACTGCAGAAGTGTCCAGACAGGCTGATGAGCACAGTTGGTCGGCTCCACTACCTCACCATGACTGCCAAAACTCCGGCCCCTGGAGACCTGGCTCCAGCTCCCCTGGTCACTTGCAAACTCTGCTTGTGTGAATATCCCCTGGACAAGATGACCACCCTCCAGGAATGTCGGTGCATCTTTTGCACAGCCGTAAGTCTTCCTTTCTTCTCTCATGAGAAACATTAGAAAAACATAAGACCAATTTCTATGGCTTAGAGAGAAACTGAGGCTTGTTTATATATGGTGCTATTTTGTAATGCACTGGGGGTTTTTTTGCACTGGTTTCTGAATTTGTCTTGAATGGTACATCAAATGTTCCTTGATTTTAGGCAAAATGTATGTATATAAGTAATCTAATTATTGATTGAATAAACAAGATCATTACAGTCTTAAAGATTTTTGCTAAGGGGCCAAGTAGAGCCATTTTTAGCACACTTAACTACCATATAGCAAAAGCTCAACAGATATTTTTGAATGATGGAGAAAATGAGTTGCAATTTACTTTATGTGCTGAATTTTCTTTCACTAGATTGACTCATTTCCTGTAAAGGACAAGGCATACAACTCTTATTTGGTCGCATCTCTTTTTAAAAAATTCTATTTTCATGATATGCTGAACTCTGTGGAGCAAAGAGAAGCCATAAACATCTCCAGAACTGGGCTTCTTGTTTTCATTCTGGCATCATGTGTCAGCATCCACGACCTTTATACTGAGTTTCCCTGAAGGTTGCTGTGGAGTTGACAGTGGTATAGTAGAACTGTGTTCCTCAGGGTTTTCAGTAGCTGATTTTCACAAATAGACTTCCAGGCCTGTAGTGTGAGCACCTCTAGGGTAGACTTGAACCGCTAAGAAACCTCTATACTTTCATTTGGTAGCTGAATATATTAATCTGATAACCCGGAAAAAAACCCATTGCTGTCAAGTCTCATCGTGACCCCACAGGGTTTCCAAGGTCATCAGTCTTTCTGAAAGCAGACTGCCACACCTTTACAGCTGGTAGACTGGAACTGACCACGTTATTATTACCAGCTGAGCACTTAAGTGCTGTACCATAGAGGTACCTAATCTAATGCATACATGTTACTGTCAAGTCAGAGCCAACTCATCACAGATACTTGAGCAAGTTTTCAGAGGCTGTAATTGCATGAGAGAAGATTGTCCATTTTCTCCTGTGGAGCCACTGGTAGATTGAAATTGTCTATCTTTGGGTTGACAGCGCAACCCTTATCCTCTACGCTACCAGTGCTGTCTAGGCTAATAATGGGTTAGAAAAGAAAGTAGGGCCAGTAGAGGAAGCTCTGAACTGCAGGGCTGGGGGGATGCTGCAGTTTTAAGTAGAGTGGGCAGGGGTAGGTCTAACTAACAAGTGACTTTCCTGCTGTGTTCTCTTTCTTCATTATATATCAGGGTGTGTTACTTCACAGGAAGTGAAAAAATGGCCTTGTAATTTCAGGGCCTCCATCCCCCAGATCTTGCTTCATTTCTGAAAGATTTTATTCTAAAAATATTATTCTATTGAGGAAAATTGGAAGAATCTGGTCTGAAAAACAGTGTATTTGAATTTTGTAAATAAACTAGTATAATAAAAGAAGACCATAAAATATATTATTCTATCTGTAACTTTCTCACATGCTAAGACTTCTCTTGTTAATCTTTGATACCAAGGAGTCAAGAGCAACATTGAGCTAAAACCAGGTTGGACCTTTTTGTCTGAGGGTTAGTGGTGCTTAAAAGCAGGGCAGGAGAGTCTTATTTTGCTGTGAGATTTGATAGTGTAGAATTGGAGAGGATATAATGTTGGTTCATTAATTATTATTTGATAATAAGTATGCAAGTGATAGGTGATGTTTGCACAAAATGATTGATGTAATTGATAACACTCAGTTGGACACCTAAAGCTGTTGGAGTTCTGACGGCCTAGTGGTAAGAAGTTGAGCTGCCAGTGTGTTTTGACTCTACTCACTGCTCCAGGAGAAATGGGTACTCTGCTCCCATGCAACTTAATGGCTCTGAAGACCCACTGGAAGGTCATTTATGAGTTCGTTTCAACTCAGGGGCATATAACAATAACAAAAAAGTTGTTGAATTGGCAAATACTGTGTTATATATGTTTTTTTTTTAATAACAGCATTTTTCCTCATAAGAATATAGAAATGATTCTGGGTTGTATTTCAGATTCACAAGACCTGACTCTGACATCTTATTGTTTCAGTGGTTCCTGGTTCCTAATTTAAACTAGAAAAACTATGATATATATATGTGTGTGTGTATATATATATATATATGAGAATGCTTATATATAAGCAAAAACCTCACGGAACTCATTCCATTTTGGTGAATGAAATTGGGAGTATCCCATCCTTTTCTGTGTCCAGGAACTGTTTGAACAGAGGTGATGTTAGCTCCTCTCTGAATATTTAATAGAATTCTGTAGGGAAGCTGGACTTTTTTTGTTTATTACTGGTAATTTTGGTGTTTTGCTGTTAGGTTTTGCTTTCTTTATGTAACTGCTTAAATTTCTTCCTTTATTAAGTTCTGTTCAAATTTTCTACCTCAGTGTGCTGCAATCTAGAGAGCGTGTGGTTCGAGTCCACCAGCTGCTCTGTGGGAGAAGGATGGGCAATCTCCTTCCATGTGATTAACTACCTCTGAAAACACACCAGAGGTCAGCTGTGGGTTAGTTCTGACTTGATGGTACACAACAACAACAACATGTTTATAGTAAATTTTCCAGTTCTTCTAGTTTTTCAGATTTGTTGGAGTCTAGTTGTTGTTGTTGTCAATTTGATCTTATATAGATAATTCTTAAAAGCAAACAATGTTCAAAGCAGACATTTATATTAAGTTAAGCTAAAATATTGTTTGCATTATGGTAGCCTAGTGGGTAAGGAGCTGAACTGCCAACCCAGAGGTAGACAGTTTGAGTCCACCAGCTACTCCACAGAAGAAAGATGGGCAATCTCTTCTCTGGTCTCTGAAAACCTACTGGAGGGTCAGCCAACTCAACGGCACACAGAGCCACACAATATATTGTTTGATTTTAAGAAGATTTTAGGGGTATTTTATTGATGTTGTGGTTTAACATGTAAGATTATTTGAGTTTCAGGAAGGGCATACATAGTAAAACAAACTTAACTAAAAATGAACAAATAGATGATAAACTAATTATTTAGGACTTCCTAAAAAAGAAGCACTTATGCACATCAAAAGACTTCTTCAAAAGAGTCAAAAGACAAAGCTGGAGAAAATTCTGGCAATGATATATATGAAAAAAGACTAATTTCTAAAAATTTATTGGAGACTTTATCTCAACAAGAAAAAGACAAATAATCAAATTTAAAAATGGGCAAAGGACACGAGAAGACCCTTCATCAAAGGAGCGGTCCACAAACAAAATCAAGATAATATCTTACACCAAGAATAATGGAAATGAGAAAAAAAAGTAGAACACAGTGAATGCTGCCAGAGTGTAGGAAGATTGAAACTCTCCTACACTGATGATCGTAAAATTAGCAGATTATAAAGTGGTACATACACTGTGGGAAACAGTATAATAACTTTAAAAAAGGATATTTTGTGAAAACAATACATATGAAAACCAGTATAAAAGAAAAAGTTTATATTTTTTTAAAAAAGAAATAAATATACCATATGATCCAGCAATCTCATTACTAGCTGTGTAAATTATAGAAAAAAGAGTTATGACACAAATAGACATATGCACATCAATGTTCATTGTAGCATTATTCACAATAATAAAAAGTGCCTAGCACAGATGATGGATAACTACACACACACACTGAAACACTATGCAATGTGTTCATTCACTATGAAGTCACAGAACATCTTATAACGTGGAGGATATTATGCTGTGAAAAGTTAACCGATTGCAAAGGGGCAGATATTACATGAGACTGCTATTATAAAAAAAATCAAGGAAAAGTTGACACTCAGAAAGAAACATTCTTTGATGGTTCCCAGGGACGGGCCGAGGGATAGTTGTTACGTGCCATTTACTTGGCTCTGATTCTAGTGGGCCTATGTGCCACAGAATGAAATCCTGCCTGATCCTATACCATCCTCTCAATCCAAATGGTAGATATGTGTTAACTTTGGTGAAGGGAAATGTTACACACAGTAGGGAGAGATGAATACAACATGATTGGAATGAGGCAAGGCACTGGGAGATATGCAATATTATTGCAATAATAGTAATGAACAATTTGAGTGAATATGTAGGTATATGTGTAAGCTGATTATGTGTGGGACATTGTGTAGGAGTACACCCAAGACATTACAGAAGATTTGGCAGAAAATGTTTTTCTCCTTATATGCCTCTGGAAACTCTATGAACTTTAATAAATGACAATAGTTATAGAAAGGCTTCAGGCCTTCTGTTAATAGGATTGATATGAGTCGTGTTCAACTCTACGGCAACCCACAACAACAACAACATTTGGGAGGGTGAGTGGGTGGGAGGATGGAGGGACAACACATGAGGAGACCCTCGATGAGATGGATTAATTCAGTGACTGGGTAATGGGGGTAGATGTATTAGAGACAATAAGATTGGCACAGGATAGAGCAGGATTTAGGGCTGTTCTCTCATAGGATCACTGTGAGTCACAGGCTACTTGACAGCACATAACAACAACAACAACTTATGTATTTGTTTATACTGCAAATATATCCAGGCATATACTACAACATGTTGTAAGGTGCTGCCAACTCAATGTTGGCTCAGATTGTGTTGTTTTGTACCATAGAGTCTGAACCAACCCATAAGTGAACCTCTGGTAGATTTTTAGAGCCAGTTAATGGCACAAGAAGAGATTTCCCATTCTTCTTCTCCTGCAACCATATATCCTTAGCAGCCCTATAGACAATAGAACTACTGAACCCTGCACCAACTTCACACATGTTGCTGTGTTTGGGCCCATTGTTGCCCCTGTTGTATCAGCCTATGACATTGAGAATCTTTGTTTTCCACTGACTCTCTACTTTACCAAGCATAATATCCTTCTGCAGGGATAGAGTGCTTCCCCCCATTAATAGGTCTAAAGTACTTGAGACAAAATCTCACCATCCTTGCTTCTAAAAAGAAGCATTCTAACTGTACTTCTTAAAAACATCTTGAGACATTGAATAT